ACGGTCGAATGGCCCTGCGCCTGGTAAAATTTGCGCGGCATCGCGCTCTTCCATCTCCATCCTCATCTTACGCTCAGCCCCCCCTCTTCGCGCCCTCTTTCTTCCGCCCCCTGCCCCCTGCGAGCGGGCGCGGCGAGGCAAGTTGAGCGTCGACTCTCGCCCTGATCATGGCGACCCCCACAGCGGGCGTCCGCGCGGCACCGACAGTCGCAAGCCGCAATCTCAGGACAGAGAAGACAGCACAACGAACCAGCGCCTACAGCGAAGCGAACAGGCGGGCGCGCTACTTCGCGAGAGCCCGAGGCTGCGCTTGGCGCCTTATCTGGCGCAGCCGGCTTTTTCTCTGATGTATTAGCTCTGACTTCGTTTTGAAAATGTTGTTTCGACAGTTCGCCAAATTGCGCCTCGCGTCGTGCTTCCCATTGCTCGAGCGTCTGCTTCGCAGCCGCTCCCATGCTGCGGGGCGCGGTGCTCAGTTTGGCATCGGCTTCCTGCTCCGCCGTCTGAGTCCTTAGCGAAGCTCCTCTAGTTTCGGCAATCGCACGCGCAGATGCGGCGCTTGATTACATGGGGATGGCATGTCCCCCCTTTCTGGAGTCATGGACTTCGCCTCGGGCTCGACGCGGCCAATCTGCGCTCTCGCCCGCGGCGCGCTTGGCCGCTTCGACGGTGGCCCTCGTTTCGGCGGCCGCCTCCTGAATCTCCGCGCTGGCTTCCGACGTCAATTCTGCGCTGCGTGCCGCAGCGGTCGGCAATAAGCCGGTCCACCGCCGTCGATTGACTTTGACTGGCCAACCGGGCGGCAAGCGCGGCTTTCTCGGCAATGGCCTTCGCGCGGGCGCGCGCCTGTTTATCGGCCGGCTCAGTTGCTTCGAGTCGGCATGCCGCGTCTTGCACCTCGACGTTGACTCTTTCGGCTCTTTCCGCCGCGGCACGGCGCGAGCGTCCCTCAGATTGCCCCCGGGCCCGAGCCGCAGCCTGTCGATCTCAATTTGCTGTCTAGTCGCCGCCCTCTGGTGGAGGTCTGCAGCTCTGATGCGTTCCTGCACGCATGCCGTGCCTCGTTCTCGCGTCATGTTGGCGCGTTTCTTCTCTCGCATCCCCCCTCGTTCTCGGCGGCGGAGGGCCGCGCGGAAACGGGCAGCCGGGGCGCGGGGGGCTCAGGCTGCATTCGGGGCAGCTCACTGAGCAGGCCGAGCAAAACCGTTGGCGATTCTTGCCCTGCAGGTGCATGGTGCCGGCGCCGGCGGGCGCCCGGCGCCCGCGCCGGTGCTGGCGCCGGCGCCGGCGCTGCAGCGCCGGCGGGCGCCGGTGTAAGTGCGCGCTGGCGCCCGGCGCCGGCGCTGGCGCCGGCGCGGGTTAATTGGCGCTGGCGCCGGTGCAAGTGCCAATGCCGGTTCTGGCGGCGGCGCCGGCGCCGGCGCCGGCATCGGTGCCGGCGCCCGCGCCAACGCCGGTGCCGGTGCCGGCGGCTGTGCTGGCGCTAGCCGGCACTGCGTGGCGCTTGCGCCGGCGCGGGCGCTCGGGCGCGGCATTGGTAACTTTGTCTTTGCAGTGATCGATGCAACGCGCTGCGACGCATCACACTGCGGTGCACCATGACAACGCACGGGTGGAAAGAAGACGCACTCCCATCTCTTCCTCGTCCTCGTCCGCGCCGTCAGTCAACGTCGTCGTCGTCGTCCTCTTCGCCTGCGGCCATTTTGGCGCCGAGTCGCCGCGTGGGGATGCCCCCCCCGCGCTGCTTCATCACCGGCGGCGGCGACAGCTTCGAGGGGCGGCCGAAAGAACGTTGGGCGGGCGGCATCGACAGCGCGACTTTACTGGCCGCGGAATTCGACGCTGCTGGTGGAGGCGGGCGCAGGATGGCCCGCCAGCGCCATGAGTTCCCCCGTCCTGCGGGCCGCGATCTCGCGGTCGACGGACGCCGCCCTGGCGGTCGAGACGACCGCGAAGCTGCCGCAGGCAGAGTTCTTCGAGCATCGTGACGGACGCGGACAAAGTCACGGGCGAGGGCAGCGGGGTTGTGGAGTGCAACATGGCTGCAGCGGCTGCGCCAAAACTGCTCAGCCACGTCCAGCTGTTGACCTGATGCTGTTTCGCGCCCTCTTTTTCTTCTTCTTCTTCTTCTTCTTCTTCTTCTTTTGGCAGCCGTCAACAGTGCAACCGCGGGCGTGCCCGCCAGCGGGGCGCTCTTTCGCGCGGCAATGACGCGGCGGACACGACCCCGCGGGCGTGACGCACGTGAATTTCCACTGGCTCTTCGCGGGCGCGGGATTCGAAACGCCGCCTTTGGCGGGCGCAGCGGCGACGGCATGAGCCAAAGGCTGAACCCGAGCACTGGCGGCAGGGCCATCAGGAGCAGCAGGCGCAGGGCCGTTAGCAGCGTCGCGCAGCGATAGCAGGTCCAGACGGGTTTGCGCGCCGACGCCAGCAGGAGCTGACGCCGCAGACGAGCTGGAAGAAGAAGAAGAAGAAGCGGAAGATCGAGAAGGTGAACCTTCACCAACTGCACGTTGTAAACGCTTTCGGTAATTGGCCAATGTCTTGTTTATCCTGTCCAGCTTCACTTGAAGCCCGGCCTTTTTGACCTCCAGTTTGGCGATATTGGTATGGATCCCGCTGGCGGTGCCTTTCGGCATTGTGGGTGCTGGGTGGGTGGCCGGGGCTGGCGAGAGCAACCTGCGCCGAAATGCTGACGGAACGATGGGATGATCTACGTGGCGCCGGACTGGAGGGGGGGCGATGCAGTGAATCAAGTACCGAGTGCAGCAGTAAACTGCGTGGGGAGAAGGGTGGCCGACCAATGAGAAAGCTGCAGAAACCCACAAGGCAGCGCGTGGCATTCTTCCACGCCTCAACGTGACAGGAGGCACGGTGGTGGATACAATATCCCCATCCTCGTTGGCATCGTCATCATCATCATCATCATCATCATCATCATCATCATCATCATCATCATCATCATCATCATCGTCATCGTCAGTGTCGTCGTCGTCATCTTCTCCTCATTGTGGCTGGCACGGGGAGCATAAGCGTCAGCGCTGCCCTCGTAGTCATCGCCGTCGCCGTTCTCAGCATCCTCCTCTTCCTCCTCCTGTGGGCCGCGGGCACCCCCGTGACGATCAGCACTAGCCTCCTCATCACCGTCACCGGTGGAATCCGCACCGTCCTCTCTGCTTTCAAGACCCTCGTTTCTGGTGTCGTCGCGATGTTTATCGCCATAACCAGCAACGCCAGCATCAACGCCGAAGTGTGGGTCATCATACTTGTTTTTCTCATTGGCATAGTCCTCGATGCCATCGTCTCGGCAGCGGCATGGGGGATAAGGAGGAGAGCGAGGAGAAGAAAGAGGAGCGGGCGGAGGAGAGAGGAAGAGGAGAGAAAGAGGATGTGATGGACGTTTTTGGTCAGCCTTTGGAACGTTTGCGGCTCTTGTCGGGCTTCTGGGGGGCCCCGAGGACCCCCCCGGCCCTCCGGAAACTTCCGCGGGCCAGGATCTGGGGCGAGAGTCCAATTTATCACTCCTCATTATCCTCATCCTGCTACGTGTCCTCCTTTCATCATCGCCCTCTCCCCTCCACTCACTCCTCATCCACATCATCGTCCTCCTCCTCGTCATTAGCGCCGTCGACATCAGCAGCATTATAATATCGTCATAATCATCATCGTTGTCTTTCATCGTCATAAGCACTCCTCCTCCCCCTACTTATCTTTCCTCCTCTTCCTCATTCTCTTCACCCTCCTCCTCATCTCTCCTCTGCCTCTCTGACTCTCTCTCATCCCCCTTGTCGTTAGCGCCATCATGATCATCGTCGTCGTCGACGCCGTCGTCATCATCATGTTCATCGCCACCACCATCATCATCATCATCATCATCATCATCATCATCATCATCATCATCATCATCATCATCATCATCATCATCGTCATCATCATCATCATCGTCATCCACATCGACCTCACGATCGATGCCAACATCCATCGCGCTATCGATTTAAGTACCGATCGATCAGCGTAGCATAGCACGAGCCCTCCCCGTGCCACGTGATATCACTGGAGACCATGGGACACCAAGGGACACCCCCACGCATCGGCACACCGTAGCATACCAGAACGTCGCATAACATAACATCGCAGAGCATAGCAGAGCATCGCATATCAAAACATTCCTCAGCATAGCTTTGCATAGCATAGCATCGCATCACACAGCATTCACGACATATCATGACAGAACGCAAGTACTACAGGACACTCACGGGACACCCGCGGGACTCGCGCGAACCACCACGGGACACCACGCGACACCATTGGATACCACGGGACACTGGCGATATCCCCTTGGTCCAAACCATTCCTGCACATCCTCCACATCATTCCTCTTCATCCTTCTCGGCCTCAAACCACCTCGCCCTCGCACCCGATGGTTCCTCGTCCCACTCGCAAGCCACACTTCCTCACTGCTTTTCCTTCCTCCTCCTTTTCCTTCTCCCCCTCCTCCTCATCACACCCCATCGCTCCTGCTCCTCATTCTGGCTCCTCCTCGTGCACTTTTTCCCCCTCGTCCTTCACGCCTTTCCTGTCAAGCATTGGCGTGTTCCGTCCTCCCTCCTCCGTTTCCTCCTTGTCGTCGTCGTCCTCCTCCTCCCCCTCCCGGCGCTGGCGCCGGTGCCGGCACCGACCTTGTCGGTGAGCGAGAATCGCTCCATCGGGGCCGAGCAAGCGGGCTTCCTGCACTTGCCAAGCATTCCCAGGCATCTGAACCTGGGACGTCGGCACAGTCGACCTCTTTGTGAAAGCGTTCGTCGAACATTCGGTAGCTAGAGTCGTTCGAACGAGCCGTGCATGCCGAGCGCGATGACGCCCCCGACGTCGCTCGGGGCTCTCGCCACCTCGCGGACGCTCCAGGACGAATCCTCGGCAAACGGGTTCTCGAGATGTGAATCCGTCCAGAGCATCTCGTCCCGGCCCCCTTGGGCGACGAAGGGGGTTGCGCGAATTATGTTTCGCCCTGGAGCGATCTATGATCCTGAAGTGCACGACTCTTCTGGCGGGCATACTGTTCTCGATCGCTTGATCACTGGCGACCTTGACAGACTCACGTTGTCTCTGGGCTGTTTCGTTGTCGGCGTCCTCGGAATGTCCCCGGGGTGAGCATCGTCGCACGGGTCTTCAGTAACGTCGAATTCCGAAATGGACGGGGATTCCTGGTCTTGACGGACCGGCTCGACTAAACCATCGGCTTGACGACACCTTCCTTCCTCATGTGTCTCGCTCGCAATTAGCATCATATGTCAACGAGGAAAAAGTCTGATCCGTCGTCCCCTGATGACATATCGACACATGGAAAGGAAACCTGTACCTTTGCCAATCTTCTGGCCTAGGCGCTCCCGGTCGTACTGGGTGGCGTTCGCAAGTGGATACGGAGACTGGAGTGTTGATGCTCGCGTTTTGCGTTGAGCGTGGTGCCGGATCCCTGACATCGTCAGGATCTTGGAAAACGACCTTTGCCGCTTCTGTGAGGCCACGTGTGTGCTTTGGTGTGCCAAAGAAAGCATCATCATTTGTTACTGAAGGGAGTGTCTCCTGGCCTCGCGGAATAAAGTTTCGGCTGGTAGCCCGTGTTACGTCTATTGAACTCCATGTTCGGCAAGCGTGTTTGGTTGGGTATTGATAAGTTGTTATGTTTGTTGAGATTCTTCTTGTAGCTCACGAAGTGTGAACCTCCCACTACGAACTGGAGAATACATGGTTGGGTACGTCCGTTCAGCGGATTTACTTCGAACCAGCAGTGTAGTGTGTATGTGTATGCGCGCATGGCCCGCCCGCCTGGTCGGCCGCCGCGCGCTTTCCCTCGAGTAGCTGCACACAGCTGCGGAGACAGTCCTTCGGCATGATCCATGCCCTACCAACACTCTGTATGCTAGGGTAGCATACATGCTCTGCTAGGGAAGATAGTGGAGTGTTAAGAGTGACTGTCACTAGGTACGTACGTACATACATACGTAGAAGCGACGAGGGCCAGAAACGAAAAGGGGACGGGAGAGGGGCAAGCAAACGGGCCTTGAAAGGGGGGGCGCACGGGAGACAGGATGGAACGAGGGTGGGAAAAGAGGGTGGGACGAGGAGGGATGGTGGACAGCGCGGTGGTGGGAAGGCCGGACGGAGGCAGCCCGCCAGGAGGCCTCCTTCTTGTCCCCCAGGGCGAAGAACTCCTGGTCCCACTTGCGGACCCGTTTCAAAAACGCCTGGGAGGTTAAGGGCGGGCGGTGGAGCGCCGCCTCCGCGCCTCCCCTCCTGCCCCGTGCGAGCTCTGGAACGCTGAGGGCGACGCCGTGCAGGCACGACGGCAACGCGGGCCGTGGCATCGCCGATCCGTGGCAGCGTCGCGGTCCATACCTCCCCCCCCAGGCCTGGATCGACCATCCCTCCCAGCCCGAACATGGCGTCGCCGATCCGTGGCGGCGTCGCTCATACCCCCCCCCCCAAGCCCTGGATCGACGATCCCTCCCCGCCCGAACCCTCCCCTTTTCCTTGCCTCCCCTGCCTCCCGCCCCGTTCCCTCCCCCGCAGCTGTTGAGAGGCCGGCCCGCATCGCGGGCCGATCGGATTGCTTGAAACCGTCGCCTTGCCGAATGGCTCGAAACTCCCTCCGCGGAGGGGAGTCGCCCGCGGGCACGCTGCTGCCTCAAGAGCCGCGCACCAATTCTGCCAGGCGGAATCGTCTCAGCTGGCCGGCAGAACCTCTCCCTGACCAGCGAAGCCCTCGCCGGCCCAGCACCGCTCGGGCGTGCTGCTCCTTGGCTCGTCTCTTGATCGAGCCGCATCGCCGATGAATTGGCGATGCTTCTCGATCCTCCGACCCCATGCGCACGGTGCTCGAACAGTAATTCGTCGGGAGGCCCAGATACGAACTCCTGTGCCCCCCTCCCTCCGCCGCTCTGTCCCGCGCATCTGATCACCTGCCGTGATAGGCCCAAGACTGCCGAGGCCAACGTCGCAAATTGAATCGAGACATGGATTCGATGATACTCTGGCACTCTTGGTTGGCCGATGTTCGGGCATACGCTTGGCCGACAGATGACAACAAGGACACGGACTGAACGGTGTCGTCACTGTACATGGGGTGATGTTTCCTCGCCCGTGCTGTTATCCCTTCTCCTCCCGTCCCTGTCGACTGCTCTAGGCATCTGCTCCTCGTCCTGCCCCCTCCTGCTGGCGAAACACAAAAAGAGAACCATGCACACATACTCATCGGTCGGAAGAAGTAAGTACAAACATGAAGTAGGAAGGCATTGAACATAGATTGGGTTCCGTCCGCCCCCTAAGGAGGACGGAATAGGTGAAGCCACTCGATCATTGAAGTAGGAAGGCGCTTAGAGTAGATTGGAATCAGGGGATCCAAAAATACCAACTTTCGAAGACCAATGGGTACACCGATCTTGGCCCGGCGCACCCCGGGCCCATGATCGGTGTGCATACCCTCCTGGCTTGCCCGGG